GTTTTAGTTTGAAAAACAAAATACTAATCTTATTTAGAATAACAAAAATGCGTTTTTATTTTGAAAAACACAAAAAATTAAAATGTGGAAGTTAATAGATCAGACAGTTTGTTTTCTAACGGTCCAGGACATGTCCTCCATCCTGTTCTTTGTCCCCTCCTGTGTTTAAGACAAGTCACAGAGGGGGTCTGGAAGACACCGGAGGACATTTCCATCCAAGCCCCGAAGCGAGCGGACGACCTGAGTCGCAGCTCGGACCTGGACATCCTGAACAGTCCTCCTCTCAGCCTCTCTGACCTCAGCACCAGCGCCGGCCTCGCCAACTGGATGCCTGCGGCGTCTGAAGCCGACGCCTCGGGTCTCGAGCAGGACGTCCAGTCCTCCATGACCTTCAGGAACCGGATCCTGGACGAGCTGCCGGGCAGACGTCCCGCAGACAAAGCCGTGTCGGCCGAAGTCAGGCTGGTAATCCTGGTTAATGTTGTTGTTCTTCATCGATCTGCCGGGAGCAGGATTTTATTTACGGTTTATTGTCGGCGCCGTCAGAGCGGGCCAGATGGCACGCGTCCATTTATGTCCAAATTCTGTCAGAAAGCTCTTAAATCTGTTCCTGAGACGCTCCAGCAGATGGTTTATTGTTCCTGCAGTTTTAGAGAACAAACTCCATCTATCTGTTGGTGCTGGCCCGGCCCGCAGCCCACTCATCCGGTTCTGTTTGTCTGTCAGGCAGCGGAGCGGGACTGGGAGGAGAAACGAGCCAGTCTGACCCAGTTCAGCGCTCAGGACATCAACCGTTTGCTGGAAGAGACCCAAGCCGAGCTGATGAAGGCCATACCGGACCTGGACTTCGCTGCCAAGCACATAAACAAACCGGCGGTTCCCCCCAAGCCCCAAATCACCATCCCAATATCCTCCACCACGGCTGCCGGGCCTGCAGCCGGGACCGCCGGGACCGCCGCCGGCCTGGACCAGCAGCCGGGGAAGGTGCAGCTGGCCGCCCAGAAGCTGAACAGCATGGAGGGGGGCGGCTCCCACCGAGGGTCGGGTCAGTGCTCCAGGTTCTGCAGAACCGTTCCTGTAGATTTGCTGTTACTGAAGGCGGTTCTGTTTCCACAGTGGACCTCGGCGTGACCAAATACAAAACCGACAAACCCTCCAAGTCTCCCCCTCCGCCCCCGCCTCGCCGGAGCTTCCCGTCGGCCCACGGCCTCACCACCAACCGCACCGGAGAGGTCATCCTCACCAACAAGAACCAGAAGGTGAGACGGCCCGGGTCTGTTCAACCAGAACCAGAACCAGCTGTAGAACTGCAGGATCTTATTATAGTTGTGATAAAACTGTTGATGTCATCATCATCAAAGTCCAACTTCCTGTTTAACATGATGATGATGATCTGAGGCGTGGAGTTTTTTCTCAAAGCAGAATTTTTCTTCTGAGGTTTGTTTTTAATTTTATTTTCATCAAACATTAAAGTTTTATCAGCAATTATCAAACATTGTTATTCCTGCTGCAGCTGCAGGTTCTGATGAAGGTTTAAGAGGAGAGACAAAAATTCAAGATTCAAGAAAAATTCAAAAATTAAGACAAACAGAAAAAGATTATATTCATAAAATATAAAAGTTAATTCCTCTCTGTGTGTTTTATTTAAACTTGTAACTCATGTTTCTTGTGTTTTTTGTAATTAAATATGTTGATCTGGTTCATCAGAGCCTGAAGTCTGCAGCTTGAGTCTGAAAATTACAAAATAAATCTTCAGTCCAGCAGAACTCGGTCAGCTTTGAGTTGTGAATCTTCTCTGATCTAAAGCTGACTCAGCAGATTTTAGTTTTTTTTAAGGGATCCCCGATTAGTTGTAACATTAGACTTTATTTGACAAAAGTATATTTTAACTGTAAAAATAAAGACTAAAAGTGTAGGCTGTTTAGTTTTTATCATTTTTTAAAATATATTTTAACACAGACGGAGCCATTTTATTTACACACAAAGCATTCTGGGTAAATGATGACGTGGATAGGTTCTCGGTGCGAGGCTGCTAGCGAGCTATATCCACCCTGAAGGTTAATCTTGGACAATATCTGATGATCGACTCTTTTAAATGAAACCAGAGAGCGTTGACAGAGAGGAGAAGGTAGAAATGACTCAGCCTGGAACTGAAAATATGGATGGAGGACAACAGAGCTGCTTCATGGAAGAAGAACCTCAGCTTAGCCTGTTAGCTTTAGCATTAGCACCGACGCTATGTTGCCTTATATGTATTAGCTCAGCGCTAGCATGACAAAGGCTAACAGGCTAAGCTGAGGTTCTTCTTCCATGAAGCAGCTCTGTTGTCCTCCATCCATATTTTCAGTTCCAGGCTGAGTCATTTCTACCTTCTCCTCTCTGTCAACGCTCTCTGGTTTCATTTAAAAGAGTCGATCATCAGATATTGTCCAAGATTAACCTTCAGGGTGGATATAGCTCGCTAGCAGCCTCGCACCGAGGACCTATTCACGTCATCATTTACCCAGAATGCTTTGTGTGTAAATAAAATGGCTCTGTCCATGTAATATATTTTTAAAGTTTTAGTTTAAAAATGATAAAAACTAAACAGCCTACAGTATTTTTACAGTCTTTATTTTACAGTTAAAATATATGTTTATTAAATAAAGTCTAATGTTACAACTAATCCTGGATCCCTTTAAGATCACATCGAGTTTGAACAAAACACTCTGAGCTTTTCAGCGACACTCTGTTAGAGCTCAGCATCCTGTTGAAGGTGAACTTTTCATGGTTATTTTTGTTGTTTTTTTAGGTTGAAGATGAAGCTGAGATGCCTAAAACGCTGGTGAAGCTGAGGCGGACCCCCTCCGACGCCCCCCGGCCCGCCTCCACGCCGCCCGTCATCGCAGCCTCGGCCGTTCACGACGAAGACGACGAGGAGAAGATCATCGCGGAGCTGGAGGTTGGAGTTGGATCAGCCTCAGATTTCTGTTGTTATTTGTTGAGTTCTAACGCGACCGACTGTTTCCTGAACAACAAAGATATTTCAGAGAGCGCCGGTTAAAAACCCGAGTCGTGCTAAACCCAGCAGAACCCGGTCTAAGGCCGCCCCTCCTCAGGTCTGTGGGTCTTTGGGCAGAAAGGTAAATTAAAAACCGTCTGCTGCTCCTCGGGTTCCTGCTGACTTCCTCCTTTTCATTAACTTCATTTATTCCTACTTTACTTTAAAACTTTAACCTCAAACATAATTAAAATAAACCTTTTATTTGAACCTGGATCCTAAAGAGCTGCTTTTATTTCTCAGAAGTGTCTTTTTGTTCATCTGAGCAGAAAATCAGAAGTTTATTTTAATAATCAGAATAAAGAAATAATTCTGAATTATTTATAAACTCTCTGATCTTCCCTCAGCTGTTTCTTCACCGCCACCTTTTCTTCATTTTGTGACATAATGAAGCTCAAACATAAAAACAGCTAAAATTCTACTTACAAACAGAAAAAGGCCGGACTTAACCTAAATGTTGGAAAAATGTAGCTAGAAGCTAAAGTAGCATAAAGCTAATCAAAAGCTAACAGAGGCTAGCTAGGGGCTAAAAGCAGCAAGGAGTTAGCCAAAAGCTAAAAGATGCTAATTGGTAGCTGAAAGCTAAAGGTAGTAAAAACAAGGAAAGGTAGCAAAATGCAAGACTAAAACCACAGCAAAACACTAGCTTGAAGCTAAAAGTAACAATGGTAGCGTGAGGGTAAAATGAGACTAAAGTTAGCTTTAAGCTAAATGCAGTAAAATATAGCAAGAAGCTAAACATAGCAGAATGCTAATTTAAAGATATCAGTAGCCAAACTCTTAAAGGCAGCAAAAGGCCAAAAAAATTGTAGCTAAATACAACAAAAACCTAGCTGAAAGCTAAAAGCCAAATGTATCATAAAACAAAAGTTGACTCTTGTTGAAATCTCCTTAAACTCTGTTTTATCAGATCTTAGTGTTGTTTTATGTTGAATAGTTAAATATTTTAAAATGTTTTAAAGGAGCAAAACCTAATTTGGTGCATTTAACTCTTAAATGATTTGAAGGTTTTGATATAAACAGCTAAAATAGCACAAAATTTGTAGTAGTCTGCAAAAATAAAACAAAATAAATAAACAGTAAAGTGAACGCTGACTTTTAAACCACAGTTTATTCATAAAACATGTACCGGTAGTTGTCCAGACTGAATCACAGTAAAAACAACAACAATAATAATAATAAAGCGTTTTTGTCTCGGCCCCCGCAGAACAGCAGCATCTCTCCAGGACCGACGAAGGGTCCGACCGTCGCAGCCCGACTCAAACACCTCCAACAGGGGAGCCTGGAGAGACCCAGAGGACGCCGACAGAAAGAGGATTTCCCCAAAGTCCAGGGCCAGCAGCAGGTATTCCACTTCTAAAAGCTGCTTCTCTTCCTGCTGTCGCTGCGAGGACCCTCCACCTTCTCCTCCTGAAGACCCCCCAAGGCACAAACTGATTCCAGCTCCTCTTCCTCTCTGCTCTTACCTCTGGGTTTCAGAATCCAGACGAGTTTTGTTGAGTCTGATTTCCTGACGAGGGTCTCCACGATGATCTATTCATTCTGATTGTTTCTTTCTGTCTGTTAACGTTGCCTTTTATGATGCTTCGACAAAAACAGGAACAAAAGGCTGAGAATTTACTGAAGAACGGTTTAATGTTGGCAGTAAATAATCAAAACAGCTGAAACAAATATACAACAAACATTCAGATAAATATAAAACATCTAAATTCATGACCTTTATTTTCAGTTTCCTAGTTACGAAAGGATTATTTTGTTTTGATTCTTTGGTGTCAGACTCCCACAGATTAAAATTTGTTCAGAAAATTCTGACAAGTTTATAAAAATATCAAAAGTAAAAGATTAGTTTCCATCTTTGTTTTATTTTAAACACGTCTGGAGTCATTAAGTGTGTTTTTAAAACCAAAGTGTTCAGCTGATGAATCCTGATCCAAATGTTTTAATTTTTTTAATTTAATTTTACCAGAATTAGAATATCAGTCTCTGACCATTTATAATCATTTTCACCAGTTATTTCATTTTTAGAACCACTTTTAAATAATTCAATGTAACAATAACAAAATTAAAGATATATAAGATTAAATATTTTATCTATCTGCAAAGCATCGTGTTACAGCTTTTAGCAATGAATAACTGCTGTTAGCATTGTGTTACAGCTGTTAGCTTTGTCACAGCAGTAGTTTCATGTTGCTGCTATTAGCTTCATGCTACAAATGTTAGCATCAGGTTATAGATGTTAGCATCTTGTTACAGATGCTAGCATCATGTTTTAGTCGTTAGCATCAGGTTACAGCAGTTAGCATCATGTTATAGATGTTAACATCATGTTACAGATGTTAGCATCACGTTATAGATGTTAGCATCACGTTATAGATGTTAGCATCACATTATAGATGTTAGCGTCAAGTTACAGATGTTAACATCACGTTATAGCTGCATCATGTTATAGATGTTAGCATCATATTATAGATGTTAGCATCATGTTACAGATGTTAGCATCACGTTATAGATGTTAGCATCACGTTATAGATGTTAGCATCATGTTACAGATGTTAGCATCACCTTATAGATGTTAGCATCATGTTACAGATGTTAGTATCATGTTACATATGTTAGCATCACCTTATAGATGTTAGCATCATGTTACATATGTTAGCATCACGTTATAGATGTTAGCATCACGTTAAAGCTGCTAGCATCACCTTATAGATGTTAGCATCATGTTACAGATGTTAGCATCACGTTATAGATGTTAGCATCATGTTACAGATGTTAGCATCACCTTATAGATGTTAGCATCATGTTACAGATGTTAGTATCATGTTACATATGTTAGCATCACCTTATAGATGTTAGCATCATGTTACATATGTTAGCATCACGTTATAGATGTTAGCATCACGTTAAAGCTGCTAGCATCACCTTATAGATGTTAGCATCA